GAAGGCAGGCAGGCAGGCAGGCAGGCAGGCTGGGTGGGTGGAAGGGAGGGAGACCTCCCTTCTACATAGTACTTGCCTTTCCACACACTTCGCAAGTGAAAACCTTGGGCTTGGTATTAGGAGAGCCTCGGCTGAAGTCAGAGGTTTTGAATGCGATTTTTTCCGACAGAAGCTGGGCGCTTTCTTTCATATAATGCTGCAGTTGAGCCTGGGACAAGTCTTTGAAAGCTACTCCCGAGGGGTACTTCTCCACCGCCGGGACCACCAGTTTATTCCTTTCAGCTAAATACGTTTTTGGCTGAGGGTGCAGAGGGGAACTGAGGAAGTAGGAGGCCACCGGGTGGATGTTAACGCCGGCCGCCGGGTGGCATGGGCCGTCACCTCGATTCAGGTAGCACAGGGCTCCCATGGCGTGGAAGGAAGAATGGTTGACCACACGCGGCCTTACCAGCTTGTACTGCTGCAGCGGCAGCGCGTCTCGGGCCAGGTCGCCCTTGAGACTCAGCGCGCAGTTGAGCAGGTCGCTGCAGCTGAACGCGGGCGCCGCGGGCGCCGCCGCCGGTGCCGCCGGAGCCTCCAGACTCGCCTTCCGCGGCTCCGAGCCAGTCATTCCTGCCTTGGAGCTCGTGTCGTACGCCACAGGCACGAAAGGGATCATGCAGGGGATCGACGAGTTAAGATGCAGGGAGTGCTTGGGGTCCCCCTTGGGCACGGCTCCCTGCAGGAAGTGGGGGACGGGCAGGGCCTTGGGCTCGGGGGTGCGCGCCATGATTCGTTCGATGGAGAAAGCCAAGGGTTTGGAGGTGCTCATCATGTTGCCCCGGGCCGGAGCAGTAGCTAACATTTTGGCAGTCGCGTTGTGGCAGGTACTGTCCATGACTGAGTCGCCAGCGTCCGTCAGCCGGGGCCAGGCTGCGCCGTCGTCCTTGCTCCCTGCTTGTCACAGACCTGCGGAAAGGAGGACGGGCACCATCACCACCAGCAGCCTCCTCCTCCTCCTCCCCAGCATCACCAGCCGAACCTGCCTGCCCAGCCCAATGGACTCCTGCCAGCCCATCTCAGAGTTCTTGGCGCACCAATGACTCGAGGACAATCACTACTTATTTCTATCAATAGAAAGTGTTGTGTCAATAACGCAGCCAAGATCTCGCCAATCGTTAACTTCCAAGAGGAGAAGGTAAACTAGATAATTGCTCAATTCGCTTCCAACAGTCAACAGGAAAACTTTTTTTTTTTTTCCTCTGCAGTCAGTGGCTACTTTTCATTGGCGAGTGAAGTTCCCCCGCCCAGAAGAGGCGGGGGCGCCCTTCGCAGAGCGGCACGCCCTCCCCTCTGCGCACAGTCTTTCGGGCGCACACCTCACCATCCTCCCCCCGCCCCTTCGCTTTTTCCTCTGTCTTTTTAATTCTCAATCTGCTTAACCAGGCTTTAAAGGCCAAGCAAATCTGAGATCAATTTTCTCGTTTAGCTCTAAGTGACATCATCTAAAATCATTGTGCAAGGGCTAAAAAAGGAAACAGAATCTAATTCAGGGGCAAACGCCAGGCCATATTTATGAAACGCCAGGCTCCAGAAAGCCACGGCCAGGAAGCCGACCGCAGCGAAATCCGAGCTTTCCCTGCACGGTTCCGCCGGGCAGACACTGGGCCTGGGTCAAAGCCGCGCCGCCTCCTCCGCAGCCCTCTTTCTAGGGCTCCTCTAAGGGCGTGGGGCTCAGGACTCCCGCATCCCAGAGTCTCTGCGGCCCGATCCGAGTCTGGACCACTTGGAAGACGCCAGCAGGTAACTGGCCTCACAAAACGTCCCTGAGTATTAAAGGCCTTGGGAGGCTTGTTATGTGTGTGTGGTTTTGTAAATGCGATGTCGTGACATAAGCTTGGGAAAGACGCACTGCAGCCACAAAGTTGAGGAGTTGCAAGGAATAAGCGGGTGTCACACCAAAAGAAGCCTCGGCTACGGCCGGCCCCCACCCCTGATATACACAGACACACGCGCGCGCGCTTTTGTACCCCCACTGAGAGCCCGGGAAAAGTATTTCTTAAGTACCTGCTCTCAGAGCTCTGTCGGAGCATTTTAAATACTGAAAGTTGAGCTGAGAAGGGAAACAACTTAGGGATTCCACCCCCAAACCCCCACATCCGTACTGCTAGAGTCCGCGCTCCTCCTTACAGCAGCGCGGGACGCAGCCAGGCTGTGTGTGCACCGCGAGGCGGCAAGCGTCGGGACCTGCGGGCGCGCGAGCGCGCGGAGACCCAGCCCCTGCAACGCCCCCTTATGCAGGCGCCCCGAGATCTGGCGCCCCGGTCAAAACTCTCCGGGAGGAGTGGTAGAGCGTAAGGAGTGTTCCGGGAAGACTCGGTTGGCTGCTCCTCCGGCTGCGCGGGGTCTCGCTGCCAAGACTCGCGCGGCCCGGAGCGCGCCGAGGGCAGCCGCGCTCACGCTCCTCGTTGCTCCCCTTTGCAAGCCTGCGAACATGCAGAGCTTAGCTCCGGGACTAGCGGCTGCGCATCTAGGAGCCGGCGGCCGGGAGCTCGAGCCAGGAAGTGGAGGAAGAGCGCAGAGGTGCCGCCTCAGAACCTCGCGGCCTGCACGCCCCGGTGAGTGGTCGCCCGCAGCAGCCCACGGTGCCATCTACCTGGTGAGTTACCCTCAGTGAGTGCGTGTAGAACAGGTGGTGACGGGTGCCAGACATCGGGTGGCTGTGGGTGTCTTCTCGCAAGAGCCCTGGAAAGGGGGGCTGCAGGCAAGCAGGCTAGAAGCCCTGGGATTGTTGAGCCCCTGAGGAACGCCACCCCAAAATGCGAAGTTGGGACCCCAAACGGAGGAAATTAACCTCACAATAATCCCTCCTCCCTACCCCATTGCTCAGCCCAGGCCACTCACACGGGCTGTTCGTGAGGGTCTGCCCCGCCCCCGCCGGGCGAGCGCAGAGGGGTGGAAACCGCCCAGAGCCTGGGCTGGGAAGGCTCCTTGATGCCCAGCGGCAAAGCAGGGCAACTGGGAGGGTGGTGAAGAAACTCAGTTGCTAAGGATGTGGGGGAGGAGGCGTGAGTCCTATTGGAAGTTGAAGGCAGCCAAAGGGCTAAATGGGGAGAAAGGTCTGGATGCGACCGGCCTTAACCAGTAGGCCAGGGAAGTGCCTCGTTTCGGGTCTTGGGGTGGCTTCGGGCTAGGCGGACAGATGCAGTGGTACGGCGGTGCCGACTGAGGCGCGCGTCCAGGCGGACGCGCCACACCACACCACTTCGGAGCGGTTCTTGGCCCGGGCTCGGTCACCCAGGGTGCGCACACGCTGGCAATTCTCCTTCCTTTTGCTGTTGGGGCCTCAGAACCTGTCTCCTCTTCTTCCCTGCTCAGACAAAGAGCGCGGGGCTGCTTTGCTAGGGGAAAGGCGGGGTTGGGGCGGGGGGCCGTCCCACGACAGATGGGTCGTGGTTAAGACTTTAATTGCTGCCTTTTGGGGCAGGTCAGATTTCCTTTCCTACCTGCCACTTCCCAACATCGAAAAATTCCCCTCATGCTGCACTGCTCCAACACAGGGCCAGGTTTAAAGGAAAAAGCAAAGAAGCACTAAACGGCCTGGCTCTGGAAAGCTTTGGAGCGCCCAACTGACTTGTACAACTCACCCGCTTCCCGAGCGTTACCTGCCGTCTTGACTGAATGCCACCAGTTTGTTTTACGTTCGTCGCGTGTCCCTCCCTCTTCCCTTTTCCCCCTCCCCCACTCCCTCCTCAACGGCAAAAGAGCCTTGCTTTGACCTCAGTAAATTTCTCCTTCGGTGGACACTGAACTAAAAAGGAAAATTATTGGCTAAGGGGTATACGTGTTTTGTATAGTTAATATTTCAACTGTTTGCTTTTCACTGGTCTTTTCGGGATTTGCCTTTTGACAAGTGTTTGAAAGTATGGTGTCATCTGAGTAACACAGATATCTCAAAGTAGCAATTACGCCCTTCCTTTAAAACCATCAGACCTGAGCTTGCTAATCCTGAAGAGGTGCTTTTATAAATCAAGGTCTTGATATTACATTTGTTAGAGTATTTTCTATTCAAAACCTAACCTAAAACTGTTAATAAAAAATTAAGGATTACCTTAAACAGAATGCAAAATGTATTTAGGAAAGGCTTCCATCTTACTGTCAAATCTGTCCAGTACTTTGGGGTTTTTTTCCAAACACATTTGAAAGATAAACAAAACACCAAGAAAAGCAGAGCATATTTGGCAAATTTCGAAGCTTCTAAAACTGTCCAATACTTTAAAATTGTTTATTAAAAGAATGCAAGAAAACCTTGTTCATTTTGTTAATGGCAAAATAGAAACTACAATTGGATTTTCTTGGAGAATCTTATAATCCCCCTCTTTTTTGGTCAGAGCTGGCGATTTAAGTGTCCCTCCCGTCCCAGCCACAGAAAGGCAGTATTTATTTTCCCCACTTTAAGTCCTTGTGGAAGGTGAGTATTAACTGTGTGGCTTATCCTGCATGAGATGTACTGAAGAGAGCAGAGCAGTCCTTGACATGAACAGACCAGATAAACTCTCAGTTAAGACCTTTGAGAAAATAAGAAAAAGTTCTACTCCTCTAAAATAAGTTAAAGTTCTCATTTTTTGCCTATGGAATCTAATTTTTATTTCAGTGCTTCCTAAACTGTGTTCTTGATTGCTCAAGAAGTTGCATGATTTTCACAGGCTTTTTATTTATATCCCTATCACAAGCAAGTGCAGTTTTTGGTCAAAATTATTGCAATCTGATATAAAAGGCAATATAATGGAGCCTTCGGTGACCAAATAATCCACAGTCTTTCATCTCTTATTCCTTAATAAGTCACAGAATATGTTGCATTTTTAAAAAATAAAAAAATGGATTGAGAAATATTATAACATCTAACCTTCTGCCAAGTGCATTAATTCATCTCTGGTCATGTTTTTAGGATTTTCAGGTCTTTCCAACATCCACGACTCCTGCCTCTTCATCAAAAATAGCAGTCTGCTTTCCCTCTGTGTCTTATTAGCTGCGGTCAGCTAAATGGGGCAAGATTATTATTTTAACCACCTCCCCTCCCCAGGCTCTCAGACCCATCCGCACTTCTTCCTGTTTAATAAATAGCAACCTACCTTCCTTCTAGAGGAGCAAAAACATTCCTAAATTCTTCTGCAGTTTTGCTCAGTCTTTATCTCGGACTGGTCTTTTGTTATTTCTTATGGTGTGTGATGGAGGTGGGGTGTTGGAGTAGGCCCCAAACAGGAGGGTCTGCAAGGTTCAAGGAAAGAGTCTTGTCGAGTAGGTCAGATTAGTTAATGAATACACAGTGAGAACTTTCTAGCACATCAACAAACACTTGGGCGACGAGTTCAGATTTAAGGCTACTAATGTGCTTTTAGTTTGGAAGCAGATATGGATTTTTTTTGCTAATTTAGTAGAGCATGTGAAGGGTAGTATCACTGGTTAGTTGTTAACTCAGAGCCCTCTTTTCTTTTGGGGGAGGGGAGGTGGGCGAGTGGTTCGTTGTTTATCTTTAGACCTTTGTTGTTACTACTATTTCTTTTTTAGTAGGGCTTCGTTGCAACCTAGTGAAATTATTGTTCTCAGAACAGTATTTACATATGAAATCAGTTTGTAAAAGTAAATGAAGAGCCCCAAAGGTGAGAGCTGTTTATGAGCCGATAAAGATTACCGACAGGGATCACCTGCCCTGGGTTTGTTTCTGCCCCTGCACTAATGCTGGGATTTTTCTCACCCGTTCCCACAGGCCTGTGAGGTGCGTTCCCTACGGACTCGACTCAGGGCTGGACTTGATGGAAAAAGAAGTTTATAAACAAGCAACCCAATTTCTCCTACTTATTCGAGAAACTACCTAGAAGTCAAGCTACAAAAGCCAGACAAGTTTTGCCTGCAATTTACAGCGGTGTCGTTGAATCCTGGGAAATGAACAATTAGAAGAGGATGCCCCGAATATACTGTCTTGTTCTACACTGATAGCTGGTTATGCAATTGGCTGATTAGCGTTTTTGCGGCAGTCCCCAGATAATTTTTGTGGTCAAAATAAAAACTACCTTCAGTACAGCGCGATTCTTTCCTTGATACTACCCAAGAGGTTTAGAGCAGTTTTGATGTTATTTTCAAACTTTCTTCCTTATTTCCCACGAAAAAAAATGTCTATAATAGAAATTCAAATATTACAGAGCAGAAAATGAGCTTAGAGAAATGGAGACGCAAAAGATGTAAATCAAAAAATCCTTGAGCTAAAAAAACTCTGAGAACCGTTTAACAATGTAGTTACCTCCCGGCCCCCGGCAGTCGGCGGCTCCCGGCCCGGAGCGCCCCGCGCCGACCCGCGGCTCCCGGCCGCGGGGGCCTCCATAACCGCGGCGACCTCGGCGTCCCCCGGCCCTGGCCTCGGACGGGAACTGCGTTCCCGCTGCGGGCGCCGGCGCGGAGGTGCCCCGCCTCACTCACGATTCGTTTCCCGGAGCAGAGCCATTTAATGGAAGCCCGAAGTGAGACGGAAAAGCTGACAACGCTCCCCGGCTGGACTCTCCACTTATTGGTCCTGGCTCAAGAGTCCCGAACAGTTAAAATGACGTTGGCGAGGCCGAGGGCGACCGGGCTCTGTGACACTGCCTTGGAGGGGCTAGGTATGGTGACTCGAGCCCCTTAGAGGGGACTGGGAGCTGGGGCGCTACTCCCGCAGCCCGCCGCCAGCCAGACCTCCGCGCCCGCCCCCCGCTCCCGGGCGCGGCCAGCACGCCCCCCCCCCCCCCCGTGCCCCGACTGCCTGCGCCGCCACGTCGCCACCCGCGTCCCTCTGACCTCCGGCCTCCACACCTTCGCCCCCCCGCGGGCCTTTGGGGCGCGATCGCGCTCCTCCCTCTCCCCGCCGCACCCCCGCGGATCCTGCGGCGGTTCCGTCCCTCCCCTCCCCACCCCCAAGGCCGGGAGAAGGGGGCAGTCACCGAAGAGTTTCGGGAGGGGGTGCCGGATCGGGTTTAAAGACCAAGTAACAGATGGCGGAGGACTCCCGTTTGAAAAGTTTTTGAACAGAACAGTCGCTAATAGACTTGCTTTGACGACTGAGTGTAACTGAAGGGCCATTTAATCTAGATGTCAAGAGAAAGAAAACAGGCCTGACGCTGTGGCACGCCCAAGAAGGAACTAGAGCATCTTTTAATAAGTTTTGCCTGTCATTTTCAGTTTCCCGGAAAACACTTTCATAAGCCGATTTTAAACGGGGTTGGGGGGGTCACCTCTGAGTTCTACTCCAAAAACCTTTCATTGTCCATTGTCATACATTTTTGTGCCTACTCCTGCCCCCGAGAATCCTCCCTTCGGAGCCGTTTGGCTTGTGCTTAGAATTACTGGGTATCTGCTGACGGTCCCGGGGAAAGCGAGAGAATTTTCTAACTAGATTCTTCTGTCGAAGGGTTTCCCCTTTGGGTCCCACCCTCCAATTTGTCCTTTCATTCCGGTTCCTGAGCTCTCCCTGCCAAGCTCTTCTTCCTTGCTAAAAGAGGAGGAAATGGGTTGGCTGTCCAACGAGCGCGATACCCCGCGGCCACCTCCAGCTGGCTTAGTCCCTGAAAGAGGGAGGGAGACGCTCAGCCACTTGCCGTCCCCCTTCTCTTGGTGCGGGTGGACCCCCCTTTGCGATACAAACTACCCCTCCCCGCCAGGCCTCTCTCAGACCCGCTCCCACAGGCATTGTACGCATTTCGAGAGTTGAGATGTAAATGCCAAGAAGAGGCTTGATCCGTCTTTTAAGGAATCTTACTAACTTTTACCATGTTAAATTATTGCTGTCTTGGTTTGAATTAATTTGGAAGTCATGTTTCTTTTTCTCTCCCCTCCGTGTCCTCTTTAAGTTCATTTCACTCTTTGGCTTTCACTGACGGCAGGTCTGCCCTCATAGTTTCCCGTTAGACCCAGAGAGGAAGAGGGTACGGGAGACGCTGCGGAGCGTTAAGCGCCCCGCCTCAGTGTTGACGCTGGTAAACAGGGAAGCAGCACTCCGCGGCCCGCGGTGACCTCGTGGGGCCGGCCGACTGATGTCACGAACGTGCCCGCCACTGAGGCCCCTGGGGCCTGCGTGGCAGCCCTGAGCCCCCGCCGGGCCGCGGGGTCGGCGGTGGGGAGAGGAGCTGGGTCTGGGTACAAAGCAGGGAGAAGAAGAAGGCTGTGCATCCTTCAATGACTGAATGGGGTCGGTTCCTGCTGCCTGTGGAGGGGAAGAAACCCCTCCTCTACCTAACCCTGTGATTCACAGCTTCTCATAAATTTACATAATACAAAGGCGTAGATGTAAACCTACAGGACAAAAATAATAATTCAACAGCACACATTCCATTTTCGCACCGTGGGCCTGGATATGTTCCCGGTGTTGGCACATTAGCTGATTTCCAAAGCTTTTTACTCACGATGGAGAATAACTGAACTTTCACACCACTATAGAAAGAAGAGGCAGAGAGGGAGAAAAAAAGGGAGAGAAAGAAATTGGCTTTAATGACGCTGATTTGGATTTCTTGGGAACGGCAAAAGAATTTAAAAAATTAAGAGCATATGCTGTGTTCAAAAGGCGGTAGGCTTGATAATAATTGGGGTTCCTTACCTTCCAAAGGATCTCTTCCCCTTTTATCTGGCAGATATTGTTTTGTTTGAAAAGCAAAATCATTACCCTTTACTATTAATAGGACATTGCAATTTATTATTTCTCAAGATAAGCGAAGGCCACAACATTTCCTGGCAGAGTGACCCCAATGTCAGCCCGGCTCCAACTGGCCAATTCAAATGTAAGATGGAAAAGCGAAGCGTGGCAGCTACACAATACACGTGATTGCTGTCGTTGCCTTTCTAGGGTTAGTGTTTTTTCCTTTTTTTTTCCGGAGTGTGAACTTAGACATCCCTAGTAAATTCAAATTCTGGAGCTCTCCTTGAGGCATTTTCTTAGTGATTCCCTGTGGAACGCGGGGCAAGGGCAAATCCAGCTGCAAGATCTCTGGGACCCCAGCGTCCCCTTATTTTAGCCATGATGGCCGCGCAGGAGTGCTGGGGCCCTTTGGTCTTGCGCTTGGCCCCAGCCAGTGAGTCTCGCGTCCAGCCCTGGGTGAGCGACTGGGTGCCGGTGGTAACTGGAAATCCGCAATGCGGAAGACCGTTTTCCCCTCCTCTGTCTTCTGCCTCTTACCGTTCTCCCAGCTTCCCTTTTCTCTGCAAAACCCCTATGCAAAACTGGCCATATTCTATAACTTGCAATCCAACCCCTCAGTAGTTTGGGGTTGTTATTTACATTGATTTCTAGAGCTTTTAATTAAACCTATAAGGGCAGGAATTTAAGCGGAGAAAACATCCACTTTTTCAAGTAGGCAGCGAATTCTGCCCCCACCTGCCCCCCAGTTGCTGCCCCATAAAAGGTAAATTGTAATCCCCTTGGCTCCTCCAGGTCCCTTACTATCCTTTTAAAGCTGGATTCTTCAATTATCCATTGAAATGGAGAACAACCAACCTTTCCCCCTTTCTAAGAAAGTTCTTCATAAGTACTTTTACCACCAATTTGTCCAGACATTTCGAGGGCTGGAATAAAGGATGCCGCTTTCCTGCCTTGCTTTGGCCTCCTCAACCAGGGTGCCTTCGTCTGGGGAAGGCCACACAGCTAGTGGACTCCTTGTTAACCTGAACAGATGGTGGCAGTTCCCTTTGCCTTGAATTGTTTTTCTGTGAAATGGGACTAAATCAAAGCCCACTTCATTCTTGGGAGGCTTGGAGATTGAAAAGAGATTTTAAAATAAACTACTTTACATATGAAAAGCTATCTATCATCTTGTTAAAAAGTGAGGCTATAAACTTTTCCAAAATATTTTTCAGACAACTGTATTTAAAAAACAACCCTTCTGCTCAATGATTCAGTTTCTGGTTAAATACATGGACATGTTAAAATACACAGAAAGAATCACATTTGCTAAATTATTTTTCACAACTTTGAGGATTTTTCCTTATCATTGGGGGCCTGCTCTCCCACATTCAGTCCTGAGGTCCCCAGGGGACACTTTCTTCTGTAGAATGATGAATTAACCTTTCACAAAAGCTTTTCAAAAATCCCAGTTTGAGTAAAGCAGATTTCATCTCTTTAGAAGCAGTTAATGCAGTTCTAAAATTAATCAACTTTCTGATAGACTCTCCTACTTATATGAAAGAACACACCTAGCAATCACACAATGTAACAACATCAACAACAACAACAACAACAAAAACAACTGGGCGGTTTGAATGACAATGAATGAAGTTCTTCAATAACTTTGAAGTGTGTTTTAAAAAATTATTACAGGGCGTTGGGGGTGGGGAGGATCTAACAAAGCTCTCTCTTGCCACAATCGGCCGCTACCCCAGCCTTTCCATGTTCCACTTTCCACTTTCGGAAATACAGTCCTGTTGGGTTCTGACCTTTTCCTATGTAACGTCTTTTTAATGAAACTTTTTCTACCTCCCCATCAAAATCTTCTTCCAAAGTTAAATTAGTTTTGCCTCCTTGGCATTTTAGAGAAATGCCCTAAACAACAAATTTCAGCATTTAAATGTTTCTTTCTGCCAATCACACCCAAGAGAGGTGTTACTTGTTGGGTGTAGCAAGGAAGTAGTGTTAAAAGACAAACTAGAATTGATTTAAAGCAGAAAAGGAAATAACTTGACACACCACCTTTAATTTTTGCAAAGGTACACAGTGTGTGTAGGGGCTCCATACACAAGTCTGTGTCAGAACCCAAGAAAGAATAACTACCCTGCCTGATGATTCCTGAATTCGAAATCAACTCTTCACTTCCTCTCTGACGTGAGAACCCCTGATCCTAGAGATGGAAAAAGATTTTAGACAATTTGAGAATATGTTTATTTGCTACATTTTAAAAGTCACCCACGAATAAGCACATAAATACAGTCACTCTTAATGTAAAGTTGCAAAGTACAGGGAGATTAAAGGCATCTGTGGTATTCCAGAGTGGTGTGTGTGGTGTGTGTGGTGTGTGTGTGTGTAAAATTCTTCCCTGGATCTGGAACCAGAAGCTGAAGGCAGGCTACCTTAAAGGAATGATGAAGATGGGAAACATCTCTCCAGTTAAAAAAGTAGCTCTAGTCCCAGCCCAAAGCAGGGCGAGGTGTCT